CCAAGACATAGCCACTGAATTCCCCAAGTTCCCAAGTCTTCATGTCTTTCTCCATGGTAAACACAGAGGAGAAATATTCATTGAGGACCTCACCCATCACCTGCGGTTTCACACATACATGTCCACTTTGGTCTTGAGAGGGCCTATTATCTCTCTACTTATTCTTTTTCCTTTAACATGTTTAAAGAATCTCTTTGGATTCACCCTAGTCTTCTCAACCAGAGCTATCTCATGCACCCTTTTCGCCCTCCTAATTTCCTTCTTCCATAAACTCCTGTATCCCCTATATACCTCCAGGGATTCCCTTGATCCTAACTGCCTGTTCCTAAGCCATGCCTCCTTTTTTTCTGGAAGGTTGGGCATTTGCTAGAAACATCTTCCTGATCTTCAAAAACCTCTCCACCATCTACAAGGCACAGCTCAGAAGTGTGCCACTCCAACAAATGCTCAGCATCATCCAGGGCAAAGCAGCCTATATTCTGACCTTCTACCATGAGCAAATAGTAGTGACTACATGTACCATCTGCAAGATGCATTTAAGCAACTTGTCAGGGCTCCTTCAACAGCACTTCCCAGACCTCCATTACCTAGACAGCCAAGGAATGTGCATTGGAATACCACCACTATATGCAAATTCCCCTTCGAGCAACACATCATCCTGACTTGGAACTATATCATCTGTCGCTGAGTTAAAACCTTGAAATCTTTTCATTGTTTCACTTTGGGAGGGCATTCACCATACAGATGAAAGAGGTTTTAGAAGGCTGCATATGACCACGTTTTGAAGGGCATTTAAGAATTGATAATAAATGCTAGACTTGAAAGTGAGGCCCACATTCCATGAACTTTTAAGAAAATATTAAAATGGTAGACGATACAGAAGGGAAACTGGCTTTGGAGAGGGAACAGAGAAAATATACAAGAAGGGTACCTGGGATGTGGATCTTCAGTAAGGCGGAGAAACTATAGAAACTAAGATTTGCTTTCCTTGGAGCAGAGGAGGTACATATGAACAGCTGAACATACAAATCATGAGCAGGAGTAGACCATTCAGCCCCACACATCTACTCCACCATTAACCAAGATTATGACTAATCTGACTGTAACCACAAATCAGCATCCCTGCCTATTCCTGATAGCCTGTCAACCCCTTGCTTAGTCCATAAAATGTGGAGCTGGAGGAGCACAACAGGTCAGACAAATCAGAGGATCAGGACAGTTGGTGTTCAGGTTTGGACTCTTCATCAGGACTGGGGAGGGGGATGGGAGCTCAGAAATATATTGAGGGAGGGGGAAGGGGCTGGGGGAAGGTAAGTGGGGTGGTGACAGTGGATGCAGGTAGGGGGTTGTAGTGGGAGGCGGCGTTGAAAAAACTGGCAATTGGAAGGTGGTGGTTATTGAAGCATACAGAGCACAGATGCTCCACGAATCAGTCACTGAGTCTGCACTTGTCTGTCCATTATAGAGGAGATCACATTGGGAGCAATGGATGCAATGGACCAGGTTAGAAGACGTACAGGTGAATCTCTGCCAGATTTGGAATGATTGCTTAGGGCCTTGGATGGAGGAGAGCGGGGAGGTGTAGAAGCAGGTGTAGCACCTCCTGCAGTTACAGGGAAAGGTGCCGGGTGTGATAGAGGGGTTGGTGGGGAGTGTAGAGCTGATGAGGGAGTTGCGGATTATGCGGTCCTGACGGAAAGCAAATGGGGTGGGGAAGGGAATATATTTTTTTTTGTGGTGGGGTCTGATTGCAGGTGGCGAAAATGGCAGAGGATGATGCGTTGGATTTGGAATTTGGTGGGGTGGCATGTGAAGACTGGGGGACTCTTATCCTTATTGTTGTTGGTGGGAGGGGTTTTGAGGGTAGAAGTGTGGGAAATGCAGGAGATGCTGTTGAGGGCATTATGAATCATGGGAGAGGGAAAATTACTGTCTTTGAAGTAGGAGGACATCTGGGATGTCCGGAAGTGGAACGCTTCATCCTTGGAGCGGATGCAGCAGAGGAATTGAGAATATGGGATTGCATTTTTTGCAGGCTTCTGTGCTCTGTACGTTCCAATCAACACCTTCCGGTTGTCAGCTTTTTCAACTCCCTCTCCCACTCCCTTGGAGACATATTCATCCTGGGCTTCCTCCACTGGCAAAATGAGGCCAAATGTAAACTGGAGGAACAACAATTCTTATTCCGCCTTGGGAGCTTACAGCCCAATGGCCTCAACACAGAGTTCACCAACTTCAAAATCTCCCCACCCTGGCCTCAACATATGCCCAGACCTTCCTCTCAGCCCGGCCTCCTTGACCTGACACAACCTGTCCATCTTCCTTCTCACCTATCCACTCCATCATTCCCACTGACCAATCTCTACAACTCCCTACCTGCATCCACTATTGCCACCCCGCCTACCTTCCCCCAGCCCCTTCCCCCTCCCCAGTCCTGATGAAGAATCAAGACTTGAAACGTCGACTTTCTTGCTCCTGTAATGCTGTCTGACCTGCTGTGTTCCTCCAGCTCCGTATTTTATCAACTCTGTCTTCCAGTATTTACAGAAATTTCTATCTCCGAGTCGCTGTAAACCTGACTGCGAAGCCTCTTCCAAGGATACCCACCTTGAAGAAGTTTTCCTCCTCCCTCCGAAGAGATCTCAGTGGGTCTCCCTCCCACTGCAACCCACTGGTTATCTCATCTGCCCTGAAGCCCTTCGACCACATCCTGAAATAAACCCGTTACTACAGCCATGTCTCCTTCCTCGGTACCTGCCTACGCAGCTGGCTTATCCCCCATGGACTCCAAACAACGTTCAGACCATCCCAATTTGGACCAAATCACAATAACCATTACCAACAGTGCCCCTAAAGCCTCCAGAAACGGTTCTCCCTGTGGATCCTCAGCTCCACACTCGCAGCCATATGCCGACATCTTCTCTCACTACAGTAAGGCCTGTCCCAGCTCAGAACCTCTCTCTCGCAAACCTGCAATGAAACTCTATTGTTCTTTATTCTTCAAAGGATCCACACCTTCAAAGAACACTTTTTCTCCTCCCTAAGAGACAAAGAATGTCTCTCGTACTTGCCTCCAAACACAGACGTCCTCAGCCACCCTGGGCCCCAACCTTATCCCCGACCTTCTCCTGAATACGCCGGGGGCCATCAACCACATGGTCACCCCAGCGCTCCTGCTGATGTTGCCGACCACATCGCTACTTCCACTTCCGCCCACATAACCGTTCCCATATACACACCCACTCCAGAGGCAGTCTCCACCTCACTCCTAGTTCCAGCTCAACAGTAAACCCCAGCCCCAAGCCCTGCCAGGTATTCACCATCCCCCCAGATCTCCCCCTCACTGAAGATGAACGGTCAGTCCTCAGTAAAGGACTCACATTCATTCTCCTCTGCCCACACATCAATGAATTCTGTACACATATAGAAACTCTTTTTCTGCCACCTCCGCACCTAGTTCTTTGAATGGGAATCCAACACACCTTCTGCAATCCCCTTCTCCCGCCTCCAACAAAACCCATCCTCCTGGACACCACCCCCTGGCCTTCTCCCCTCCCTTGACCTCTTCATCTCCAACTGTTGTCGTGACATCAATCGCCTGAATCTCTCCACCCCTCTCACCTACTCCAACCTCTCCCCAATGGAACACACAGCCCTCCACTCCAACCCCAACCTCACTATTAAACCCACTGACAAGGTGGGGGGAGGAGCGTGATGGTAATATGGCATACTGACCTCCACATTGCTGAGGCCAGACGCCAATCTCCAACACCTCGTCTTACCATCCCCTTGATTATGACCCTACTGCTGATTATGAAACCATCATCTTCCAGACCATCAATAACCACATCACTTCAGGAGATTGCCTATCCACAGCCTCCAACCTGATGGTTCCCCAACTTTGTACCGCCTGTTTCTGTTTCTTATCCAAAATCTATAAACCTGACAGCCCTGGTCAATCCATTGTCTCTGTCTGCTCCTGCCCAACTGAACTCATCTCCTCCTACCTCAACTCCGATCTTTTCCTGCCGGTCCAGGAAGTGCCCACCTATGTTCAGGACACAACCCACACCCTCCATCTTCTTCAAGACTTTCAATTCCCCAGCCCTGAACACCTCATCTTCACCATGGACACTCAGTTTCTCTCACCTGTGTCCCTCCATTTCTTCCTATCCTGCAGGCCCAACCAGTCCCCCACCACTAACACTCACATCCGCTTGACGGAACTAGTCCTCACCCTCAACAATTTTTCCTTTGATTCCTCCGACTTCCTACAAACCAAAGAGGTGGCTATGGGCACCCGCATGGGTCTGTGCTATGCCTGCCACTTCGTAGGATTCATGGAACTGTCCCTCTTCTGCAGCTACCCTGGCACCACATCTCACCTCTTCGTCCGCTACATTGACGACTGCTTTGGTGCTGCCTCATGCTCCCACAAGGAGCTCGAACAGTTCATCCACTTCACCCTGACCTCAAATTCACATGGACCATCTCCAACACCTCCCTCCCCTTCCTGGACCTCTCAGTCTCCATCTCCAGCAACCCACTTAGCACCAACATCCATTTCAAACCCACTGACTCACACAGCTATCTCGACTACACCTCCTCTCACCCACTCTCTTGTAAAAATATGATCCCATCCTCCGAATTCCTCCGCCTCTGCTGCATCTGCTCCTGGGATGAAGCGTTCCACTCCCAGACATCTCAGATGTCCTCCTACCTCAAGGACCATAATTTCCCCTCTCCCGTGATTCATAATGCCCTCAACCTCATCTCCTGCATTTCCCACACTTCTGCCCTCAAAACCCCTCCCCCTAACAACAGTAGGAATAGAGTCCCCCTGGTCCTCACATGCCAATCCACCAATCTCCAAATCCAATGCATCATCCTCCGCCACTTACACCACCTGCAATCAGACCCCATCACCAAAAAGATATTTCCTGCCTCACCCCTGTCTGTTTTCCATAGGGACTACTCATTCCGCGACTCCCTCATCTGCTCCACACTCTGCACCAACCTTTCCACACTAAGCACCTTTCCCTGCAACCACAGGAGGTGCTGCACCTGCCTCTACACCTCTCCACTCTCCTCCATCCAAGGCCTCAAGCAATCGTTCCAAATTCAGCAGAATGTGGTCTTCTAATGTGGTCCATTGCATCAGTTGCTCCCGATGTGGTCTCCTCTATATTGGAGAGACCAAGTGCAGACTCGGTGACCAATTTGCGGAGCATCTGTGCTTTCTACACTCCAATCAACACCAGCTATCAGTTGCCAGCCTTTTCAACTCCCCCTCCCATTCCCTTGGTGGCATGTTCATCCTGGGCCTCCTCCACTGTCAAAATGAGGTGACATATAAACTAAAGGAACAACTCCTTATATTCTGCTTCAGGAGTTTTCAGCTCAATGGCCTCAACATGGAGTTCACCAGTTTCAAAATGTCTCCATGCCCAGCCTCATCCCATGTCCAACCCTCACTCTCATCCCCAATTCCTTGACCTGACGCAATCTGTCCATCCTTCTTCTCACCTATCCACTCCACCCTTCCCTCTGATCAATCTCTACAACTCCCTTCCTGCATCCACCTATCACCATCCCATCTACCTACCCATCAGCCCAACTCCCCTCCCTCTATTTATTTCTGAGCTCCCTTCCCCCTCCCCAACCCCGCTGAGGAGTCTAGACCCTAAACATTGACTTTCCTGCTTCTCTGATATTGTCTGACCTGCTGTGGTCCTCCAGCTGTACATTTTGTTGATTCTGAATTCCAGCGTCTGCAGTCCTTTCAATCTCCTAACCCCTTGTTTAGCAAGATCTATCTACCTCTGCCTTAAAAAATATTCAAGGACTCTGCTTCCCTCACCATTTGGAAGGAGAATTCAAGAACCCATGACCCTCTGTGAGAAAAATATTTCACCTAATCTGTTTTAAATCAGAGTGTTATGACACAGGGATAGCAAGCCAAACCAAATCAGCCTCATTATCACTGGATTCTCAACACAGGAAAATTAAAACCTTTCAATAACTGTCCAATTCTTTCTAGCCAGATTTTATGAACAACAGACATTGGATATCAGGTTTATAACTTAAGCAAACATTAAAAAATTATTATTAATGATGTAAATTTAGCAGAACACAGATAAACAACAAGGTCATCTAATTAATATTTCCAATCTAAAGCACAATTTTCTTTGATCATAATTCCCCACCCAGACACACACACACACACACACACACACACACACACACACACACACACACACACACACACACACACACACACACAGACAGACACAGTTAAGGGATAATTTGAAAATGAAAATAAAAGAACTATAATCTGACAGTTCAATAAACAGTTTCCATCAATTGATACCAGACCTTCATGAAATCCTTGGATAATGAGTTGTTCACAGGCAAGTACAACTGTATATATTGCTCAAATTCCAAAGTCACCATTAATGCAAACAGTTTCAGCAGATTTTTAGAAATATTTACTTATTTCTTATAGGCTGGGATTCTCAGAATATTTAACAATTCAATAACTGGTGGGAATCTTGAGAGAGAGAGAGAGAGAAAGAGCGAGAGAGCGAGCACAACAAAGCAGGACTGTCTCTGGAAGTCTCCAAAATTCACACTGTCTCCTGCCAAACAGTCAGAACCAGTTCTCTCTTGATTTTTTCACTTTTCAATCAATATTCTCTGTAGTTGGCTGATTAGCACCAGTTCCTTGATTGATCAATTCAACATCCAACCAGTTGCCAGCCCTAAGCATAGCAATAGCACAGTGCCAATTTAACTACGTGTCCTTAGATGAGTAATTAAGTTGTATTATGTTTCCAGGCCAATTCCCAACAGAAAACATCTATCTTTGTTCTCTTCTCTTTTAAAACAAGTTGCTGTTCAAATTTCAAGTTCAATTCTAAACTTGTTCCAAGCCAAAAATGAGAAAAATAAAATAAAAATAGTGATTGTCTCTACAAGTGATACCTTGTTCTAAATTCATCTGCAAGAGGCAACATCTCTCCACATCCATGCTGACAAGACCCATTAGGATTTTGTATGCTTCAATAAAGTCACTACTTACTCTTCTAAACACCAGCAATACCAATTGGTGAAAAGATCTGGCAGGGGAGATGAGGGTTTTTACACATTGCATTATTTACATGATATTTATTGCAAACCTTGAAGCTTACTTTGAAAGCTTTTCAATCAACTGATATTAAATCATTAAAACTGTCTTGTATGTTACAGTTTGGATGCTCACTTCTGTGGAGGAAGTCTTATTCATACCAATTGGGTGGTAACAGCCAAACGCTGTTTAGACCGGTAAGACATCGATGCTTTGGATCATAATCTTAATGACCACTGTTCTCAATGCCCAACGTTGAATCCTAGTTTGGCAATGTTCATTTCAATTTCTCAATCTTGTTTCTACATTCCTCCACGGCATCACCTCTTCAATCGATACATCACTCCACTACTGGCAGTAACACCTGCAGATGCCTAAAGTGTAAACTCTGAAATTTCCTCCATAAATCTCTTCACTGCTCGATCAATTTCCCTTCCTTCAAGATGTCCTTTAAAGACCTACCAGTTTGACTATGTATTTGGTCATCTCTCCTAACATCTTCTTACATGGCTCAGTGACAAACTTTGTTGGGTATTGGTAATACTTCCATGGAACATTGCGGGTAGCTCATTATTGTGAAGATACTATTTAAATGCAAACAGTTATTCTTCTTAAAAAAAATATAGGTACCTAACTTCTTCACTGCATCTATTACAGTTCCTTCAACCCCTTGGCCTACAGAGTCTATCTTGGAATATACAGAGAACGTGCACATGAACCATCGAGACAGATCATTCAGGTTGACAAAATTTTTCTCGAACCCACTGGGAATGACATTGCTTTATTAAAACTTAAAAGGTATTACTTTTATTTCTCTTTTATATTTGTCTTTTGTTTAAATGTGTTTTTTCCTTCTGTAGTGAGGCCGACTTGATTAGGGAACTTAAGCTGAAGGAACCCCAAGGGGGCAGTGACCATAATATGATAGAATTCACCCTGCAGTTTGAGAGGGAGAAGCTGAAATCAAGTGTAACAGTATTACAATTGAGTAAAGGTGACTACAAAGACATGAGGGAACAGCTGGCTAGAGTTAATAGGAAGGCCAGCCTAGCGGGGAAGGCAGTGGAGCAGCAATGGCAGGGGTTTCTAGGAGTAATTCGAGAGGCACAGCAGAAATTCATCCCAAGGAAGAAGAAACATACTAAGGGGAGGATGAGGCAACAAGGGAAGTCAGGGACGGCATAAAACCAAAAGAAAAAGCACTCAATGTGGTGAATATTAGTGGGCAGCCAGAGAATTAGGAAGCTTTTAAAACCCAACAGAGGATCACTAAACAATTAATAAGGGGAGAAAAGATGAAGTACTAGAAAAAATATAGTGATATAAAAGAAGATTGCAAGAGTTTTTTTTGGATATAGGTAAGAGAGAGTCAAGAATGGACATTGGAGCACTGGAAAATGAGGCTGGCAAAGTAGTAATGGGGAACAAAGAAACGGTGAAGGAACTGAATGGGTACTTTGCATCAGTTTTCACAGTGGAGGACATCAGTAACGTACCAGAGTTCAAGACAGTTGGGGGCATCAGTGAGTGTAGTGACCATCATTAAGGAGAAGGTGCTGGGGAAACTGAAAGGTCTGATGGTGGAAAATCACCCGGACCAGATGGACTACACCTCAGAGTTCTGAAGGAGATAGCTGAGAAGATTATAAAGGCATTGGTGGTGATCTTTCAGGAATCATTGGAGTCAGGGAGGGTGCCAGAGGACTGGACACTGGCTTGCGTAAAACCCCTATTTAAGAAGGGACGGTGGCAGAAGACAGGAAACTGTAAGCTGTTTAACCTGAGCTCAGTTGGTAAGATTTTAGAGTCCATTATTAAGGATGAAATTGCAGAATACTTGGAAGTACATGGTAAAAGAGGGCTGAAATAACATGGCTTTGTCAAGGGAAGGTCATGTCTGACAAATCTGTTAGAATTCTTTGAGGAGAATATGAACAAGTTAGACAAAAGTGAGCTGGTGGACTTCATCTATTTTGATTTCCAGAAGGCCTTTGACAAGGTGCCACACTGGAGACTGCTAAACAAGATAAGAGCCCATGATGTTAGGGGCAATGTATTGGCATGGATAGAGGATTGGCTGACTGGCAGAAGGCAGAGAGTAGTATAAAGGGATCTTTTTCAGGATGACAGCCAGTGACTAGTGGAGATCTGCAGGGGTCCGTGTTGGGGCCACAACTATTCACATTATTCATTAACCATCTGGACAAAGGGACTGAGGTCATTGTGGCTAAGTTTGCAGATGACACAAAGATAGGCGGAGGGACAGGCGGTGTTGAGGAAATGGAGGTGTACTTGGACAGGCTAGGATAGTGGGCAAAAAGTGGCAAATGGAATATAATGTAGGAAATTGAGAGGTTATGCACTTTGGTAGGAAGAATAGAGGTGTAGCCTATTTTCTAAATGGAGAAAGGCTTCAGAAATCTGAAACACAAGGGGATTTGGAAATCCTAGATCAATATTCTGTTAACCTTAACATGCAGGTTCAGTTGGCAGTTGGGAAGGTGAATGCCATGTCAGCATTGATTTCAAGGAGGCTAGAATACAAGAGCAGAGATGTACTGCTGAGGCTGTATAAGGCTCTGGTCAGACAGCACTTGGAATATTGGGAGAATTTTAGGCCCTGTATCCAAGGAAAGATGAGTCAGCATTGGAGGTGCTCCAGAGGACACTTGCAAGAATGATGCTGGTGATGAAGGGTTTGTCATATGAGGAGTGTTTGAGGATTTTGGGTTTGTACTCAACATAATTTAAAAGGATGAGGGGGTATCTGACTGAAATTTACAGAATACTGGGACATCTAGATAGAGTGGATGTGGAGATGATGTTTCCACTGGATAGGAGAGACTAGGACCTGAGGCCACAGTCTCAGAGTGAGGGGATGACCCTTTAGAACTGAGATGAGGAGAAATTTCTTCAGCCAGAGAGTGGTGAATCTGTGGATTACATCGCTACAGGAGGCTGTGGTGGCCAAATTATTGGGTGCCTTTAAGACAGACATAGGTTCTTGATTGGTAACAGGTTCAAGAGTTATGGGGAGAAAGCAGGAGAATGGGTTTGAGAAATATATCAGCCATGATTGAATGGTGGAGTAGACTCAGTAGGTCAAAAGGTCTCATTCAGCTCCTGTATCGTATGGTTTTATATGGTCTTCTGTGTTCATGATGATGCAGTGCTTCTGAAAAGATCTACCTTCTACACCATAAGAACCTCTGCGTAGTGTAGGTTTAATAAATATGGATCTGAATTGAAGCAATCTTTATTTGCCCCTACTTTGCCCTTTTAACTAGCACTGTGAGATTGTGGAAGTTCCATCTCGGACAGCTGCTAACTGGAACTGCAACAATCTCCTAGGAAGGTGTTCAGTGATGGAGCCTGAACTGAGAGATGAGTCCAGGAATGCAGGGGCCAGGCTGGCAGACCCTAGCTAGGGAGCGGGCAGAAAGGGATAACATGTTGTGGGAGGGAGACAAGGGGGCATTCATACCATGGGAGTGGCTTCTGATGGACATAGTGGACCCAGAAAGAAGGCACACCATAATGTCCAAACATGAATCCATTAGGTTTCACTTGCTGATGACTTCTCCCAAGACAGGTAAAACTTAGTGTCATAGAGTCATTCAGCTTGGAAATTGACACTTCGATTCAACTCATCGATGCCTACCAGACATCCCAATCTGACCTAGTCCCATTTTTCAACATTTGGCCCATATTTCTCTAAACCCTTCCTATTCATGTACCCATTCAGATGCTTTTTAAATGTTGTAATTATGCCTGTCTCCACCATTTTCTCTGGCAGCATGTTCCATACACATACCACCCTCTTCGTGAAAAAGTTACTCCTCAGGTCCTTTTTAAATCTTTCCCCTCTCACCTTAAACCTATGCCCTCTAGCTTTGGACTCCGCCACCAAAGGAAAAAGATCTTGACTGTTCACCTTATCGAAGCACCTCATGATAGTTTTCTTCGTTTCTCTTTTTATACACAATTTGACTCGAATTCACCATCCCCATCATCTCTGCAACTAAATCTGCTTCTATGTTTCCTTAAGTTCCATTATCCACTTTGTGTCACTATGAGCTTACAAAGCACCCTTTCATTTGATATGAAGAATGCAAAGAAAAAATTAACTAGTGACACACATTGAATGATATAACTCTGTAACCCTGTGTTTCCTTAAATTCCTTTCCATTGGCATGGGTTTTAATTGATTTAAGTCAAATAAGTTAACATTTCTGTTTAAATAATGGAGAGAGAAATTTCAGATGACACTGTTAAAGGTTTCTGCATGTATATACCAGATCAATAATATCATAGCCATCGTCTTTTCCCTTTTGCTTTCGAAGTTTTAAATCAAGCGCATTGTTCACTACAATTTTTGTTAAGTAACATACAGATACTCAGCAAGATGAGGACCAGTTACTGGTGGTTACCAGCAAGGTATGCAGGATTCACTTTCCACTTCAATTAGTAAGCACTGGGATGACCTCAGAGTTATTTCCTGAACGGTTCTCTTTCAGTTCTGCAAAAACACACAAAACTGAGCTAATTTCTTGACAGAAACGCCATATAATGAATAAAATAGAGAAGCTCTGGTAGACTTATCTGGAATCTGTGATTGAAATAAAACTCATTTTGAACACAGCTGAACCAATCACCACAATTCTACAAAATGAAAGAATTGGTAATAATATAAATAAATTGCCAAAGTAATTATTTCTCTATTCCATTTTTGCTACCATTTAGAATCTCTCCTTCGCAGCATTGTCCATAATCAATAATTTGTTTTTCTAATTGTCTATTGTGTACGGTGGAAATCAGTCATCTTTAAAATTGGACTGATAATTTTTAAAAAGTACTGTTGCTTTCCTTCATCTCTCTGATCCCAGTCTTCCTTTGTCTCTCTTTCACAATCTCTCTCTCTCTTTTACTGGAGGCTCTCTTTCTCCATCTCTTAACATAATGAATTCTCTGTTACTTATAAGACACTCAGTAAAATGTACAATACAGCAGTCATTGAAATAAAACTTATTGCCTTTCTCTTCTACATACAGCTGCCTTGTTTCTTTTCAAAAAGCACTCAACATAATGGCCTAGATATCCCAGGAGTGGCAATTACAGTCAGATTGCTGCTTTTCTCTTGTTCTTTTTGGCTCGTACTAAGGATCACATTACTAGATGGGAATTCCAATCCTGACTTATTCAGAAATATGGACCATCCCTGAAATCAACAAAGTTCCTCTGTAGAACAGGATAGTTAGGGAAAGTCAAATCACACACCTCTTTGTAGCAGTTAATGTGCTGAGTTCTGAGGTTTGAATGTCCACCAGCACAGACAGATAGCTGCTAGGAAAGCAGAAGTACTTAAGTCAACTGTAGTGTTAGGGTGGCAGTTGGGGAAAGGGTTAGATTTTTAAATGTGCAAGGGACAAGGGTGCTGAGTAGGGTGTCAGGTAAGTATGTTGCCAAGTGGGCATTGTGCCAGGTATGTGATGGAGTACTCAGGACAGTTGGTGGAGGGCTGGGGGATGGATGTATCAAGGAGAATGTTGGATCCTGGAAAAACCAAGGTGGCTGTTGAGGCCAGCAAGGGGAGTCAAGGGGAGCGTCAGGGCTAGCAGGAGTAAGTGGGGATGAAGAGGCCAGCTGGAAAGAGGTTTTGGGTTCCTGAGGTTCAAATCAGTGGAAGAAGAAGGGAAGTTGTCAGATCCTGGGGTTCAGATTCTGTTCAGTGGTTTTGGGTCAGTTCTGAAGAAGGGTCACTGAAGCAAACATTAACTCTGCTTTCTCTTTACAGATGTTGCCAGACCTGCTGAGTTTCTCTCGCAATTTCTGTTTTTTTTTCTGATTTCCAGTATCTGCAGTTCTTTCACTTTTTTAAAAGAAATATACAGACCTGTTAGTTAAGAAGTAACAACCTGATGCAAATTAAATAAAAACAAAAATATTTTGAAACACTGCTTTTGATTTCAGGCCAGCAGTCCTGACTGACAAAGTGGCATTAATCTGTTTGCCAACACAGCGCTATATATTACCAACTGGAGCTGATTGCTATGTTTCAGGCTGGAGTGAAACTCAAGGTACACATTAACACAAATGTTTATCAAAGTAAAGTAACATGTCCTTAATTGTTTGCTTTCTTCTTTCCTCTTTTCTCCTCTAATTTGCCTCCCCACTCAGCCATCCTCTTCTAAAAGCATTGATTTCAAGATTGCTCATTGCTCCTTGAATGCTGATAACATGGTCATCTGGTATGAGCATTTGTGCCCAACAGGTTTGAAGTGATCCATTCCCCTGCCAGCACATAACCTCCCCATTGGCAAAGTCTCTACTCTGCACCCCCAATACGGCACAGGGAGATTAACCCCTGGTTAAAACTTTATAGGAAAGCAGCGGAGGTTTGACCCCCAGTGTGGGGGCCCAGCAGTATATGGACATGGCCCTAGCACTAGTGAATTAAAATACCATGAGTGAATATCCTTATCACCTTGAGGATACCTTGGCAGAGTTAAAGGGTAAGGGGTAACCTCTGACAAAGGCATCTGGAATGTAAACCAAAGCAAACTGATGTCTAAAGGTGTCAAATTCCTGGCAGCTCCTGCAACCAAGCCAATGCCACAGATGATGTTTTGCATTCCTTTGGCCTTAACTGGGGTGGTCGAGAGTGGCACCTAACATTTAAGCAGCCCAGATATCTGTATAGTTTGCCCAGGCTTTCATTTTGGAGAGGACACTTTGGTTTTGCTGCAGCATGATTATACATGGGAGACAGCAATTACGAGTGATAAAACTTGATTGGCATACAGAATGGCTGCTACAGGCTGTCTCTAATGATGGGAGGGTTCCACTGAGCAGCCACTGCTCACCTTAAGTTGTACAACCCCTGTCTTTGATCTACCATGGCCACATTCATGAAGCTTAGAGTCACTACTCAACAAATGGATGGAATCCAGTGCACCTGGCAAACAAATCAGAAGAGAGGAGATGCAAACTCTTTGATTTGCAAGCTGGAACAGCAGGACCATGTGCACAACATTGAGAGATATTTTCCTAAGCAATTTGTACAGAGATGGTGTCGTACACCTCTGGAGTAGGTGGGACTTGAACCTGGGCCTCCTGGCTCAGAGGTAGGGACACTACAACTGGACCATAAGATCCTTTGAGAGATGGCTTGCAGTTAGTTGATACATGTTAGCTCTGATCATTGTGGAACTTGATAGGCTAAACAAATAGTCATTATAGGACAGAGTATTGCTGAAGATAGAGGCATGCTATTGAAGTGTTTCATCTTGTAATCATCAGGACTGAGGTAACATTTCAAAGGTAACAACAACTGTATGAGAAAATGGAGGCTGCTTGGTTGAACCAAAATCATTATCCCTAAAGAGGTGATAAAAGAGATGCTGAAGAGCATCCATACAAACCTATGAACAATTGAAACCAGTCTCAGGAAGGCAAGAGCAATACCCTATTGGCCAAACATGAACAATGCCATTTAAGATCGTGTCAGCTTGTGAACATCCATATAAGCAAGCTAAAGAAACACTCAAGGCTTTCAAAGACAAATTTTGGGTTAAGTTTGGAAGAGACCATTTCAATTTCAGTGGCATCAATTATCTTGTCGCTGTTGTCTGCTGTTCATACGTTTTTTTTTTTAAAATTGGTTTGTAAGTTGTTGAGCATCACTGGTTAGCTCAGTATTTATTGCCCATACCTAAATGCTCTCAAGAAGGTAGTGGTGAACTGTCTTCCTAAATTGGGGTGTAGAGATACACATGCACTACTAGGGAGTTCCTGGATTTTGGCCCAGTGACAGTGAAGAAACAGCGATTTAGTTTCAAGTCAGGATGGTGTGTGGCTTGGTGGGAAACACTTAGGTGATAGTGTTCCATGCCTCTGCTGTTCTTGTCCTTCTAGGTAGTAGAAGTTGCGAGATTGTATAGTGCCGTTGGAGGATTCTTGGCGGGTTACTGCAGCGCACTTTGTAGATGGTACATATAGCTATTACTTAGCATTGGTGGTGAAAGTAGTGGATGGGGTGCCAATTACATGAGATGGTTTGTGCAGATGGTGTAAAGCTTCCTCAGTGTTGATACAGCTGCATTCATTCAACATGTGGAGAGTATTACATTACAATTCTGACCCATGGACAGACATTGAGGAGACAGGATGTGAATTACTCACCACAGAATTCCTAGCATCTGATTTGCTTTTTAGTACATAGAATCCCTATAGTGTGGAAACAGACCTTTTGGCCCAACAAGTCCACACCAACCCTCAGAGCATCCCACCCAGACCCATCCCCCTAAACTACACATCCCTGAACACTAAGGGCAATTTAGCAAGACCAATCTACCTAGCCTGCACAACTTTGGACTGCGGGAGGAAACCGAAGCACCCAGAGTGAACCCACGCAGACACGGGGAGAATGCACAAACTCCACACAGACAGTCACCTGAGGGTGGGATCGAACCCGGGTCCCTGGTGCTGTGAAGCAGCAGTGCTAACCACTGAGCCATTTGTTGCCCTTTTGTATCCATAGTGTTTATACGGCTGATCCAGTTAGTTTCTGATCACGGTAGCCTCCACAGTGATCATTATAGGTCTTTCAGCATTGGTAATTCTATTGAATGTCAAGGGGCAATAGTTAGATTCTCCCTTGTTGGACATAATCATTACCTGGCACTTGTGTGGCACAAGGGCTACTTGCCATTTATATTGGTGCATAATGCAGTGCCAGAAATGTCAACTGCTTAAAAAAAAAGTAAACTCACGACTTTTCTCTTTCAAAATAAAATGTACTTGTACTTTCCTCAATTTATATTCCATTTGCCTACAAAATTAAACTTCTTAATCTAAAATATTAAAATTGCACATAATAAATATTTTTGACTTCTGGTACAAATTAATGTCTCACATCTGTGGAATAGTTAATTGCAATGAATTCCTAAATGTTTTGTACTCATTACATTTTAACATTCGTGAGAATAAGGACAGGATTTGGTTCTGGAGTATATGTTTTTTTTACCCACTTGCATTCTGCCTGTAATATTCTTATCGCCGAGTGTACAGTCAGTGTGTTCATTAAAGGAAGGAACTTGCATTTTTATAATGCTATTCTCAGGTCATTGCAAAAATAGTCTGTCAATGCTGCAGGTTAGAATCCGCAGAGTTCCTGTATTCAAATGGTCCTAAAGTTAGAAGGGCAGCTAGGATCAGAATCACATATTTGTGGTCTCTCAATGAAGAAGGAGCAAGGAATGAGCAGAATATCCCAAACCGTTAACACTGCCTTTTCTTGGTTGTGTAAATTTGAGTGTTTTCATGAGATGTGAAATAACAAAAGCCCTTATGAAACAGAAATCCAATTTTCATAATTCTGCTATTGATAGCTGTCCCTACAGTTGCCTAGATTTTAAGCTTGAGAAATTGATACTCCACAACCTCTCTCTCTTCCTTAAACTTAATTCATTAACCAAGCTTGGTTACCTATTCTAATATCCATTATGTGCAATGGTGTCCAATTTTATTTGGTAATGTTCCCATAAAGCATTTTGGAGTGTTTTACAATGTTAAAGGCGTTGTATGAATACAAATAGTTGTTGATTTCTGGTCTTCTTTTTCATTTGTCCCATTTGGTTTTAGGAACTGGACGTGAAGGGGTTTTAAAAGAAGCAGGTTTCTCGGTGATAGAAAATAGCATTTGCAATCGGCCTGAACATTTGAATGGAAGAGTGAAAATCAGTGAACTATGTACAGGAAATATTGAAGGTGGTGTTGGCAATTGTCAGGTATGTGATTATTCAGTTGGATATAAAGTATTAAATGGCCTAAAGTTAATGAATGGGAAGATCAGTCTCATAATGAGAGATTAACATGCAATTGAGGGAGACAATTAGTCTGCCTTAATATTAAAGTTCAGTTTCATAGTTTCATTATTATCTTTTGACCTGTAGCTCTGAAATTGAAACATCAGAATAAAAGGACAGGAGGAGACCATTCCATCTCTCGAACCTGTTTTTCCATGAGGCAGTTAGCAGGAAGTCAGGAAAATTTCCTGTTTGACCTGCCAGCCCTGGGAGAAAGTGTGAGGAAAAATGGAATTTTCACTCTTTTGGGGCAGGTCCTAACAGGACTCAGGCCACTGACTCATAAAGTTCAGAGACAGCCGGTTGCAATAGTGGACTGTTTAAAGTTCCCAACTTGGTGCTATGACACCTCATTCCAGTTAGTTTAAAAACAGGAAAGCCCTTCAGTTTTAACATCCCCTCAGCTCCACACACTGTCCATGCACCATCTACTATCTTCAACAGGGCAATAGAGCATTCATCATCCAGATATTTTAAAATTTCAGTAACTAAGAACATCACACACTTGTAAGCCCTTCACATTGCATATATTAACTTTGTGAATTTGTTAGCAGAGATCAGACAGAATCTCTGGTATTTTGACAGAATAATGGATGTATGGTCTCAGGCAAGCTTCATCATGTATTCTTGGCTAAGAGCTCAAGGATTCGTTACTCTGCTGAACCATCAGTGCCTGTTTGACTGATGGCTCTGTCTTTTATTCCCTATTTTGCCCAATCAACCTATTCAGAGATGTTATTGCGCACCCCTGGAGCAGTTGGGACTTGAACCTGGGCCTCCTAGTCTAGGGGTATGAACACTACCACTGCACCACAACAGCCTTCACAATGTTCTAGATTTTTCGAATCAACTTGTTTATAAATGTTATTACACAACTCTGGAGCAGGTGGGACTTGAATTTGGGCCTCCTATGCCACAAGAGGGCCAATTCTGGACATTATGACAATATTTTCTGTTTGCAAATGGGCTGTTTCATTTCTCACACTTGGTTTTCATCTATTTTTCCTCTCCAGCCTGTTCAGAGATGTTATTACACACCTCTGGAGAAGGTGGAACTTGAATCTAGGCCTCCCAATCCAGGGGTAGAGACACTACCACTGTGCCACAAGATCCCCACAATGTCTAATTATAAAAGGTTAAGAGGTTTCATATACTTGCAGTTTCAGTTGTTGAGCTTTTAAAGAGTTTGGATGATTGACATTGCTATTGCCCTATAGTAGCAAGGAGTTATTTCTTAACATAGTGGAAAATTTTCAATGAATTACTGCCTTTTGAAGCTTTCACTTATTATATATTACTGCCTTACTGTTACCTTATGCAGTTCACTGCTGGGTAATTGGACCATAGTCTGGCATGTGGGAGGTCAAGGTTGCATACAATGCCAAGGGTCTGGATGGCATACCTTTGCATGGGGTCATAAGGAATACCATTCGAACTTAATGTTGGGTGTAAGCTCATGGTCTGAATCACCCCACACCCTTAACAGGCCCTGGTGTAAATCAGAAACCCTGGGAATGGTGTTGGGAATATTGGAATTGTAACTCACCTGCTACCTTAACTTGGTGAAAATCCAGTTCTACACAGTGACAGTTTTTCTTAAAAACCCTGAGTTGAAAGATGTTAGGTAGTTACAAAAACCCATACACTTCACTAATATTTTTTAGTGAAGGAAATCTGTTGGTCTTATCTTGGCTGACCTTTATATGACTCTAGGTTTGTCTCTTAAATAAAGTAGATTATTAAGCCACTTAGTTGTATCAAATTGACAGTGGTTCAATATGAGGGTCCTTCTCAGGGCAACCAAGTCAAGCAATAAAATTTCACATCCTGAAAAAAAATTAAAAGGAACTGGGTATTTCTGAAGAAAGATACATTTGTCAAAATTTTTCATGTTGTACTCATCAGGACAATTCACAAGAATATCAAGTCAAGGGGTAACCAAATATTTATAATGCATGAGGATAGTGTTGATTGTTTAGAAAGTGAAATTTGGTTGGTAGAGACATTGCCATGGAGAATGCATCAGTTTATAATTATTGACAGTTATCTGCAAGACTTTGTCTAATTTTCAAACCAGGCAGATTGATTCTCACTGAAAAATGAACCAATGAATGGCTGTCATCTTATTATGTTGAGTTGAAATGGTGGCATTTATGTCAAGAACAGTAGCCTGTGTTTCAATAAATGCAGCTTCCAGTACACACAGGAGTGCCACACCACGAGCCTGACTGATAATCCTAGATTGGTTTCTGGCATAATTCTTTGCACATTTTTTTTTTCGGAATTGCTCAAGTTCTGTACTACTAAATAAGTTGTTTGTAATTAAAATAAGTACTTGGCTATTCACTTAAATTTTGATTTAATTCCAAAAAAACTGATCTCAAAGTTGCAGTACTCAAATGCCTGTCAACCATTTATCTGATATGAATGCTATTTAATGGGCTTAAACCAAGTTTGTTTCATTATTATCAGTTGATTCCTTGACGATGCTCTCTTTTTAAGGGTGACACCGGAGGCCCTTTGGTATGTCCAAATTCCAGAGGCAAATATATTCTCCAAGGAGTAACATCTTGGGGTCTTGGTTGTGCAAGTCGAATGAAGCCAGGTGTTTACGTCCGTGTTTCATTTTTTGTTGACTGGATTGAAAACACCATAAGGCATGGTTAACAAAGATATAACTCAGCACAATAATCAAATGTTTCCTGTCATTCAGAATGTAAAATTCCATATGTGAATTATTAAATTCTTTCGCTGTTACAGATGTGGCTTTGATTTAATTTGGAGAACTTTGAAACAGTCGATGACACGACATTATGGCTGGTTACTCTTTGAGAGGCAGGATACCTTTTCTTATTTTGCACAGAGGTTCACAGATTCATGTACTTAAATGAGATGAGATTTCAAAGGCAGCTGAATTGTAGTGTGAACTGTGGATGTGAAGCTGACTACAGCCCAGGTTGTCAAAACATGATACTGCCAAGTTTAGCGACACTGCAGTGCTGCCTATAGAAATATACCTCCCAGGTTCACTGAAACCACTGGAGGCAGGACAGGATTCTAGAGCAGCTTGATCTATCTATCAGCATCTACTGGGGAGAAGAATGATACACAGATAGGTCCATAGACACATTGACTGACCATACCACGGGTAGGAAAACTCCAGTGAATTGAGGAAGCCATTGGACTTAGACAAGGAGAGTTCAAACGGGCAGGTGGGCAACCTCATGGTCACAAAAAGCAGTACACAGCTCAAAGTATGTACTGTCAGAGGTTCAGCTGCATTGAGGTATCTGAGTGCCGAAGTCTTTGAACACTGTGTCTCTCCAGGGAAATGGTAACGGAGTTGTGCCATATGGTTCCACAACTGGTCAACTGATGTACAAAGAGAAATAAATAAGAGGTTATTTTTTGAATGTCAAAACATTTAACTGTTGCAATACAATAAATCCCCCTGTGATTAAGAAATTATCACACAGTGAAGCCTCAAGTGCTGGTCTAAGTTTTACATGTTTACTTATAGTTGTTTCTATAGAGGTGCTGTCCTGGTGCATGGAGGTGACGTATGGGCAGACTGCAAACTTTCCTGTTCAGATGCATTCGGTGGAAGTGTGCTACATTGTCTGGGTGCTTCAGATCTGGTAAGGCCCAGCATATCTGGGGATATCTATATCTGAACAAGGGCCACTTTGTTCACCAGACCGGCTTTGGTATTATCATGAACCCTCAATGGCAAAAACCATGCACATACATGCTAGCAAAATTACATCATTCAAGACATGAATGGATTTCTCCATCATTTCCACACAGAAACTGCAATGCCTTTGGTAACTTTTACAGATGTTCACACATTTCATACTGCTACTGAATCATCTGCTCTTTTGCTGATGACACCTCATGCTCAACATCTGAATGAAGTGGTGAAGTGGCCATAGTTGTCTCTCTCTTTGTGTTATCTCATTCTGTGTGACTTTGCGGTTCTCATCAGATTGTGCAACCCATTCTACACAAGCAACAAAGGCAACTACTGGCAGTGCATCTGTGTTGGGTGGAGGGTGCACTGGAATAAAATGACGCAGTATCCTGAGATTGCAGTGGAATCTCTAAGCTTTCAAACATAGAGTTGCCTCATTCTATCCCTTATCTGCTGTTACACCGGTTGGCAAGTCTTTTTGCCTGGCTGAATGCTGCACTTTTACCTTTAAAAATGGTGTGCCATAACAGGCTGCCAGCTCTGTATTTCCCTTGACATCAAGTCATTCAGTAAAATTCAGGGCTGTATTACATTGCCACACTTATGATAGTGACAATGTTGCTAGTTTTGCTCAAAATTCAAATTACAAAAGTAAAGGCCTTCAGAGTGGGTAGTGAACACTGTAACATCTTTCAATAGGTTTAGGAAGAAATGTCTTTCAGGTATTGAAATAGGTCTTTGCAATTGTGATTTTCTATACAGAAAGAGAGGCAATAGCAGCACATCTAGGGTTCACATTGACAGTTATTTAACTTCAATCAGGGGACTTGGGAATGTGTGAATACTATCACATGGATATTGTATAGATGGTATTACAGTATAATAGGGAATCGATTGATCGAAGTGTTTGGTTTCTAGAAAATAAATACCACTTTACTTGGATAATTACTTTAGATGCATGACTAAATATATAATTCCATTCTTTCTTTCTATCCTTACCTTTACGAAATGGTAAATAAAGACATGGTTGTTTTAATATGAGATATTTTCTGAAGAGAGGTCCCGACCCAAAACATCAACTTTCCTACTCCTCTGATGCTGCCTGGCCTGCTGTGTTCTAAAAAGATTGCTTTTAATTTCAACATGCAACATTCAATTATCTTTTTTGTTATTCATAAATAGTCACTGATGCTGGTTAACAATCAGAGTCCTCCTTGAATCATAGAATGCCTAAAGCGTTGAAGCAAGCCATTCAGCCCATCAAGTCAACATATGCATTTTGCCCATGAACGACATTTGGGTATTACTAAGGTGAAATAAACAGTCCCTGAAACCTAGTGGAAATCTCAAAAAGGTCATTCCATCACATGATCATAAAGATTGTCAAACTACCTATATATTATTTAGACACTCAAATTTGTAAAGCCTTATTGTTTTCTGTTTCTGTGTAAAAAGTTGTACAGGTACCCTAATATGCATGTAATTTCTTTCTTGAGATACTATATTTGTGGGAAAAAGGGTTGTGTATTATCACTTTAAGGGCTGAGTATGCTAATGAACCAGAGATATGGCGATCAGCAGCCATGAAGAGTCTAGGTTAATGCATGCAAATGTAAGAGTATGCAGCTGTGTTTCAATTTAACTACAAGTACTATGTTGCTGTAACCAATCTATCTGATGAGCAAACCTATGTTAGATTTTCAAACTTAATCTACCTGATTATCAGGTCCTGTGTGAAAGTGGTAACTTTGCGTGAGGAAGGCAACATGATAGCTCCCAATGACTTTTTTCAGCCTTGAGTTTCATTAGTCATTCCTTTGAAGAGGGTTGTATTTTTCTGCATTTTGCTGAATACCACACTTTAAAAATGTCCACATCTTATTCCAGACTGCTGTTTTCTGATATTGTTGCCCATTCTATTTTCTTAAGTTCTATTCTCAGCACCACTAAATTATTTTTTTGGCAATCTATTAAACTGCTTTCATCATACTTATGTCCTTCTCTATCATGAGCTTCAAGTAAACTATATAGTGGTTACAATTGAAAAGATGAACCCTTACTTTGACTTCAGTTATTCATGCTGCTTCATTCTCCAGTAATAAATCCAAATGATAAATCTTTCTTTTTTAGGATTTTTAACACTGTTGGACGGCATCATACATTTTTTTGTGTACTCTGAGTTCTATTGCCGTATCTTACCAAACTCGCCTAATGAATTATTTACCATGCTCGATGGCAAATCTCATGTCCTACTTCTCCACACCTTACATGTGCCATTCCCACAACAACTTGCCATTCAGTAGCTATCCACAAAGGTAAACCTTAATTGCACTCCCTCCGTAGCCAGAACATCCTTCTGCAGATAAGGAGACCAAAATGGCACACAATATTCTGGTTGTCTCACCTGAACCAAAACTAATACCATGAAAATGAACCCCTTTCCCAAATCAGCCCTTTAGCCAGATCTTGTAATGCCTGCTCCTATAAAAAATTGCACATGGCTTAGGCAATATTCCAGAAATAATTTCAAGGTCTTGCTCTTTAATGTAGAGTTTAACTCTTAACATTTTTCCATCTTCTACCTATGTTTCCAACATAGATCACATCAACTGGATTAATCCTCTTTGTATCTAAGTTAATCTCCAGCCACCGGGAGATATTCCTGCCCGTTCCACTGATGGGCAACACACCTTCAAATATCTTATTCTTAGCTGCAGATAATGCAATTCACCATCTTCAATACAGAGTCCTCCAATCCAACCGCACTTCAGTTCTATTCAGCTTCCACCCCCTTACACCACCAGCCGCAGCAACCTTCTGAGCCATTGCGACTGTATTGTGATATTCTCTCTGCAGTCTTTCTTTTTGCTGTCACAGCTAGAGAGTACATTGCATGTGTTGGACAGGGCCAGTACGTCTGGGATCACTTTCTCACTCTCTCTTAAATCCCTGCTTCCCAGCTAGTTCCCTATCAGTCACTATCCTGAACTGGCATTTTTGCAGGGGTGTAATCATATTCTTGATAAAATTGTTCAGAAAACACACCCGTCCCTTATGCAAATGAGTCCCTCCAACTCATACTTCAGCTCAATAATTCTGTGCCATAGAGATTCAAGTTGGAGATATCTCCTACGGACATGTTTGTTCAGGTCAGTCTCACTGCACAAAATTTGTATATTCTGCAGTCCAGATTCAAAATACATATCTCAATGTCACCATGCTTTATTATGTATTCAATAAATGTATTTCTTTAATTATTTGTAGATATATCAATTACAGTGAATTTGAATGAGTTATATTGATTCATTCACAGGATGTGGACTTCACTAGTTGGGACTGCAATCAATGTCTAATTGCCCTTGGGAAAGTGGTAATCTGTTTTAGAGTCATAGATCTTCACCGCATGGAAACAGACGCTAAAGGTCCAACTCATCCACACCGACCAGATATCCTAAATTAATCTAGTCCCATTTGCCAGCATTTGGCCCATATTCCTCTAAATACTTCCTATTCATATACCCATCCTTTTAAATGTTGTAATTGTACAAGCCTCCACCACTTCCTCTGCTAGCTCATTCCACATCCACGCCACCCTCTGCTTGACAAAGTTGCCCCTTACTTCCCTTGTAAATCTTTCCCCTCTCACCTTAGACCTGTGCCCTCTAGTTTTGGACTCCCCCTTCCCAGGGAAAAGATCTTGGCTATTCACCCTATCCATGCCCCTCATGATTTTATACACCTCTGTAAGGTAACCTCTCAGCCTCAGACACTCCAGGGAAAATAGGCCCAACCTATTCAGCCTCTCTCTATAGCTCAAAACCTCCAACCCTAGCAACACCCTTGTAAATCTTTTCTGAACCCTTTCAAGTTTCACAACATCTTTCCTACAACAGGGAGACCAGCACTGCATGCAGTATTCCAAAAGTGGCCTAACCAATGTCCAGTACAACACAACATGACCTCCCAACTCCTATACTCAAAGCACTGACCAATAAAGGCAAGCATCCCAAATGCCATCTTCACTCTCCTGGCTACCTGCGACTCCACTTTCAAAGAA